ATGGGGCTAAAAATAATAATAAGAAGAAGAAATCGAGCAATTTCAATAGGGACCTCCAGCGGTCGCTGGCTCGGTCCCTAATTAACCTAGCTGCCGTTAGCGTGCAATAAGATGGGGCTCAGCTGCCTCCCTGTGAACACAACCTCTGAGACAGACAGAGGCCAGTTTGATGACAGCGGTACCGAGGTGATTTACAGTTTCCAGATGTGACAATTGACCTAAGTCCCGCCCCTTTCTGCTCTGTGCTCCAATAACAGTCGAGCAAGCCTTGGTCAGAACCTCAGTCAACTTTCTCCTGTCCTGTTCTGAGATATGCTTGTCTAAGGAATTAGCTTCTCAAAAATGTTCTTGCATTCTCATAAAGCCATAATGCACATCACACACTCAGTTCTTTAATTCTTCAGTCTTTGAGTTTATCCTTTCTCCCCTTTTGGAGAACAGGGCCTCTACAAATCTCTCCAGTTAACTCCCTCTCTCTATCCTCTAAACATATGGGTCCAAGGGCCCTGGGGGAGGTTCAGGTTGCAGTGCCTCTACCTGGATTTCTGTGGTGTGTTCACAGCAAAACAACTGGCTTTTACATGTATGCTGCCTTCTAACTGATCTACGCACTAGAGTCTGACTGATACTGGGTTTTCAATAAGGATCCCTTAAATTTGGCCATTAAAGAATTAAAGACCAAGACCTTTTATAATTGTCTCAAACATCTACTGGTCATACTCTAATAATACATGTAGCTGCAACAATTACTTATTTTATTTTCCATATTAATCCACTTTCTTTTTACCTGTTAGTGTAAATGTCTTTGTGGGTATGTATTTAGGAAAAGAACCACAAACCTCCATCCAAAAACATGTTTTCAATTCATAAAAATGGCAACATTTCTAAGCAGTCTTAAAGATCCCTTCGAAGAAACACTATATGGACAAAAGTATTTGGCCACACCTGTTAATTATTGAATTCAGCTTCAAGCCCCCAACCCAACGTGTCGATATTTGACGACCTGGGAATGATCTACTATCTTTCTCTTGGCCTTGCCCCTTAAAATCAGATTTTCATTTAGCAGATGAATGTGAAAACATCCTTTTAGTGTCAAACTCTGCACATACACATTCAAACATGACATTGTAGGAAGAACATTTTTTTTGTTGTTTTGGTTAAAGCCATTAACTATACTTCTAGCATCAGAGCATTTTGTTAGTTAAAAATGTGAGCATTATTGCAAAAATTCTGTTTAACTCTAAGTTAAACCCCATGCAATGATTGTATAGGCCACTTGGGTGCTACAAAGCAAACAATATTGACATATTATCACCATATAAAGTTATGTTGAACATATACAGTTGCCGATGTACACATTAAATTGTTTGGAGTTGTGTTTGTGTCCATCTGATGAAGCCCTAAATGGTGTCACCCAATCATGAGAAAAAATATCTCATCAGCTAGTCACTGACTGTCTCTTGTTTGCTGCTGAGCAGATAGTATTGTAGAGATTTTCTTCTCCGAGACAAGCTTAAAATGTGATCTAAAGTTAAAAGACTCCCTTCCCTTTATGTCTTCCAGCAGTGTCCAGCCAGCTGCTCGCTCCATCTTCTCGTCCCCTGATGCTCAGGGGCCATCTCTGGGCTCCTGTCAGCCTCATACTCACATCATGTTCCTCAAGACCCACAAGACGGCTAGCAGCACCGTGCTCAATATGCTGTACCGCTTCGGAGAAGAGCGCAACCTCCGCTTCGCACTGCCAC